AGCATAAGAACCCGTAGGGTCCGAGTCGGTAGTTGACCGATACAACGATGACGTCATGTCGGACCAGGTCGTCGTAGGAGAAGTCCCTGCCTGTCCCACTGCCGGTGGCGAAGCTTCCTCCGTGAATCCAAATCATCACGGGGCGCTTGTTGCGCGATGTAGCCGTGTTTGGGACATAAACGTTCAGGTTTAAACACTGAAGACTACCAACTCCGACGCCCTTAGTAACTTGAGGACAAACTACGGAATCATCGTACGCTTCGAATGTCTCTTCGAATCCAGGGTGTGGTACTGATGGCTGTAAAGTAAAATGTCCTTTGATTTCGATAGAATACTACAATAATTAATATACTGCTATTGTTTATTTTAATTAATAGGTTGAGAATTCTGGTTAATAAACTTAACACTTTAGAACCGCAAGAGATAACCGCGAAGAATTGATTTCGTTTTAAAAAATTTAATTGTATGTATCAACGCCGAAAAAAATTACAAAACTAACCTAAAACATATTCATTAAAATTTCTACCGGATAACATCTATCGCATCCATTACTTACTTAAAAATATTCTTTCACTGATTCGTATTATGGTAAATATAACTATCTAAAACCCGATACTTTCAAATAGATTCATTCGTACTCACCCCGAAAGGATTGTTCTCATCAACTAGTGCGTACGGTATGCCCAAAAACTTCGCGAACTTTCCATTTTCGGACCTCAGTCCCCTGATGAGTCCCCGCTGAGTATCAACAAGCGGGTCTATCCTCAATCGGGCAGCCACCGCCGACACCAAGCCTAACAGAGCAACCAATCGCAGCATACTTGCACTGGGAATGTGCTGTTTGGACGCTGTCAGATATTTATATAGTTAGGACCTGTAGCTCAAAATGATAACGGAGCGACAATCTCTGTTAAATCAAATTAGTCTGATATGCATTGTCACTCAGCCGTAATCGTCTCTTATCGATAGGATCTCTGATATTCTATATAATTAATGACTTTCTTTTTATCAATAAGAGATCTAATTATGCAGAAAGAATA